TTCAGCGACATATCTACTCCCACAAGATCATGGAAGCAGATCGAAGTTCATCAGGAGTCGAAGAAAAGAGAATCCCCACCGAGAAGATCATCATCTTCGCCTGCGACACCACGGACGTCGCAGAAGGGCGTGAGATCGACATCGAAGGGTGGAGGTCAAAATCACCCACCAGTGCAGATTTTCGCGCCGTGATCAAAGAGAAGAATAAGATGGAGGTGGAGATCGGGGAATATCAGAAGACACTTGATGAAATGTCGGCAGCAATGGCGAATCTTAACCAATAAGACTATGGAAGCACCATCCGGATCCAGGAGCTGGAAAGACGATGCGAGATTGCCAGCAAGCAGTCGGGACATCTAGTGAGTCACCACCAACACCACATGGCTGAGGCATGGCGCAAGTTTGAGGAAGAAGCCCAACAGATGCGCAAGGTGGAAATGAACGCATTTCAGTACGGGGATAAGAAAGACATGGAGTCGAATATTATAATGCAACAGATGAGGCAAGCTGAAGGAACTATCATGGAGCAGAAGCGGGAGATTGCATTGATGAAATCCTACATGGCAAGCGAGAAGTCGGCCGCGCAGGAATCAGCTATACGTGCAAATCAGATACACCGTGAGGCTTCACAACAGAAATCAGCTTATCAGCAACAGATCAGAGGCATAGAATCTTCTACATCTATCGAGAAGTTCAACGAGGAGGAGATGGTCCAAAGTCTGAAATCACAGTTGGAGCATGCACTCGTCAAGCGCCCCGAGACGTACTCTTTGGAGGACTCCAGGGAACAGCTGATGACGAGGCTGAATGACATTACAGTATTTGCGGAACAGGAATCGAAGAGAGCAGATTGCTTGCTTCGCGAAAAAGAAGAGATCGTCAAACAGTATGAGTACGACGTGTCGATGAAGGACCAGATGATTGCTATTGAAGGTGGTCATCGTCAGGATGCGATCTTGGAGTTAGCCCAGGTCAAAGAAGAGAAACAAGAGGAACGGTGCACGATGGACGAGAAGTCGAAGGAGGCTGAGTACTGGAGATTGACAGCTAAGGGAATGTACGATGAGTACCTCGAGGAGATGCATGAGCTTCAGAAACGACTGAAGGAAAGAGAGGCGACGCTCAAGCAAGAAGAGAGTTTTGTACGCCAACTCGATGCTGACAACGAGGAACTACGCGCACACAAGAAGCTGGAGACACAGGAAGCCTCTAACAGCAAAGATGGACATCGTGAACGAGCAGTAGTGAAACGCGCTGAGGGAGGAACCCAAGCTAATTCAACTAGGGTAGACAAGAAGGTGGCTGGGTCAGTCCCGTCATCGTCTTCAATTCAGATCCCTAATTCGTCGCTGATGCCAGGTTCGATCCTCTTTCCGATCCAATGATCGATGTACACCTATCCCAGATGCAAGGAGTTGTCGGACATGTCCCACAATCCACTACTGCGAATGGTGGCGGTGATGGAGGGGGAAACAACGGTACTACGCCCCCATTGGATTACGGTGGATTCCCGCCCAATAGGAATGGGCAGGGAGCCTCGCTGGTGGCGGAGGAGGACCTCCGGATGATCCACCCGATGATGAGGATGAGGATGACGACGACGAAGGAGATGAAGAAGACGAAGAAGAAGAAGAAGAGGAAGACGACGATCGGACACGGAGGAGACGAAGGAGATCGAGAGATAACCGAGAGATCAAGAATGATCGACCGAGGATCTCGAGGAAGGAGGCCGAAAGGGTATCTATTCCGGCTTGGCCAAAGATCCATCAACTCGATAGCTGGAAGATGCAACTGCTGATGAATGTTCTGAGCGCATGTGCAGATCCAGATACCGATGCATGGACGAAATGGTTGGAGCAGGCTCTTGGGTTGAACCCAGACCTGGATATGCTTAGCGATTCAGGTGGCGACAGATTTGCTACGATAGATACAAAATGGCCATGGGTATGCAGAACATGCTGAAGCAAGCACCGAGCCAAAGACGTATATCTCGATGGTACACGACACTCTGAACTACGACATCAACAAGGGGTGATCGTGAAGGGACGAGAGTTGGTGGCATTGGTTATGCAATCATTCAGGACATCCGATAGAACGGACCTTGTCTACCACATCGAGCACCTATTCAACCTTGACTTTCCTGGCGACAAGAACTTGGTTATGTTCAGGAACAAATGGTATGATTTGCTGCTGAAGATGAGGAGCGAGGACAGGCCCAGTAAACTGGCTCTCAGAGATATACTTTACAGGAAGATCAAAGGGAGCAAGAAGATGGAGTTCGGCCTCAACGCCTACCATAGACTACCGGACAAGCATCCTCAAAAGACGTATGAATTCTTATTGGCGTTGATCGACTATCAGATCAAGGCAGATCGGGAAGACCTGATGCTCGACATGAAGGAGAAATCGTTCAAGTCGATGATGAAGTCAGGCGGGAAGGATGCGGCTCCAGCAACTGGCAAACAGGAGAACCAGGGTGGCAAGGGCAGAAAGGGGAAACCCGGTGGACCTGATGCCGCTCCTGTGCTCCCAAAAGCCAAGGCAAAGGGCCACGCTGGCAAGAACGGCAAGTCCGACGGTGCCAGCTACAGAGGCAA